TTAAAACCTCAAGCATCTTTTTTAATCGTTGGGTGGCAACGGCTTTAAACTCTTAGCCCCTATCCATCGGATAGTGAGGTTCTACGAGCAGGTAAATATATTAAAAAAGGGAAAAATTTCCACATGTAAAAAGTAATTTGACATAAATAAAAGGTTAAGTTGCACTTTACCAGCCTCAAAATGTGTTATTAGTCTTAAGGCGTCCATTTTTAGGACAGCTGTGCGAAGGAAACCTTTGTGAGTCCCGCAAGGATCATCGGCTATCAGAAAATTTAAAATCAATTCAGTCATGATTCAGAAAAAAAAAAATTAATCATTTCACGCACACAGGAAAATGTTGATATTATGACGAGCCGCCTTACCCGGGACATTTTTATAACAAAAGACGCTATTTGAGATGGCATGTTGCCGCTCCTACTTGTTTTGTCTAAGTGTGAGCTTGGGTCTTGAAATAAATTTATCTCATGAACTTTTCTTTACCTAGGGACATTTTTATAACGAAGGACGCTATTTAAGACGGTACGTTGCTGCTTCCATCAAGTGAGATTGTGTCTTGAACTAATTTTATCTCATGAAAAAAAATTATGTAAATCAGAAATTTATACGGGAATCCTAATGACACATTTGAAAAACCGCTCTTGTCTCCCCAAACCTGGACAAAATTCGTTTAGTAACGAAGATTGATTAATTACAAAGATCTTTAAGCTGTTCTTTACATTGTCAGGCTTGATAGGTGTGGTGTCCAAACAAGCAAATTTATAACATAGCTAGTAAATTTGTCTAATCAAATTCAATTGCGTGAGCGTGCTTCATTTACTCGAGATAGCTCATCATAATTGTGCATAAGCAAAAGGAGGGATCAAGTTCAAAAATACTTTATTCAAACCATGCGTTCGGTCAAAACAACCGCGTACGATCAAAACAATAATATACAATGATATTTAAACATCTTTAAGGCGCAAAAAAGTTCAGAGTCCGGCTAAACAGTTCAAGGAATTGTTCAGTTTAGTTTGTTACTTCTTTGCATCGAGTAAATCACGCAATGAGATTTTAACGCTGCCGTTAATCTTCATAAGTCTTCACAAACCTCACTTTTTCCTTGCATAGTATTGGATAAACTTACAATTCGAGAAGACGAGACTAAATTGGGTCACGCGGTTGTAATAAAAAAAAGCCAATAAATAAACGAACATATATATATGTTATTTGCCGACCCTTAGCCGGTAAATAACATATTTATTGTTTTTAAACTTGACGAAATTCTTTCCGAAAGAACCCGAATGACTTATGGCCGTAAATACGGCAAGATCTTCTATAAACTGAACAATTTTTGAGTGAAAAGGTCATAGACAGGCCTAAACAGACTCCCCTGTGTGGTTTTACGTTTGCGACGCAAAAGCCTTTAATTAAAGCTTCGCTCTGACCAGTATGTCTTTGAGCGATTTACCTCTTTTGTATGATATAATCGGAGGCGTTTTGTAAATTGTTTTCAGCAGTGGCTGATTTTGGATGAGGTTCCATTCTTGCATCAGTATTTGTTTTAAATTTTTAGAGGTAATGCAAATTTAAGAGAGATGCCTCAGCGAAACATTTTCATTTCCGTAACGATAAAGGTGATTTAAAAGGCTTCCAAACAAACTTTGAAACAAATGATAGGCAATAATAAACTTAAATTATATATGCAAATTAATACAGGGATACGGAAAAAATATAAAAGTAATATGAATTGGCGCCTTCAGCTGATATGTTCGATCCAAGCTTCACGAGAAGTAAATGTGGAAACAAACTAGTGGAACTTTTCGGCAGACTGGTGTTAACGACAATAATAACAATGATAATATTAACAATGATGAAGAAAACGATGATTATGATTGTAATCACAAAAAAAAAACATTTTGGATGAGGTTCCATTCTTGCATCAGTATTTGTTTTAAATTTTTAACCCCTGGGTGGTATGCTGTCACAAAAGGCAATATTTGCCTTTAGTTTTTCTTGTTTGTTTTTTAAGTGTCGACTGCCTTGCGGCAAACGAGACCTCAGATAACGTTTTTTCAATTAGGCTCTTTGGGTAACCACGTTGAAATAGAGATAATGCAAATTTAAGAGAGATGCCTCAGCGAAACATTTTCATTTCCGTAACGATAAAGGTGATTTAAAAGGCTTCCAAACAAACTTTGAAACATTATTTTTACAAGTATCTGTCACAATCTGACACCTGTCAATTAGAGAGCGCGCAAGAAAAAAAAAAGCGTAGGAACACTTGAAAACCAACAGAACTAGTTTGGCAAGGACTCTCACGACAATGTTTTCTTAAAAATCAGTCAATGATCTAACGGAAAGTATTATTCACTCTCATCGACCATTCATTCATGTACGAAGATTTACCTCTGTTCATTAAGTAAACGGCGAGGAAAGTAATTGTGAGTAAATTCAATTTTTTTATTTTGAAGTTGTGAGAGTTTGCTCGTTTTGCTGTAATGGCGTGTTTAACTCTGGTCTTTCCTTCACAAAAACTAAATTCGAACGGCACACTCCAACGAGACACAAGGGAATTTAATGCGGCCTTTCCTCAAAAAATTCCTTCAATTTCTGTTGTGCAATTTACGGTACAAATGTCCAAATTGAACGGAATTGGAAAGACTCACCGGGAGCGTATATTTGTTGTAGAACTTAAATTAAAACTTCGCTCGCTCTTTCACTATGAACAAATTGCTCGAGAAAATTCAGATATTAAGTGAATGAAAGTTCCATCGTTCAGTTTAACTGTAACCAAATACCTTACGTTTCAACTTTCTGGGCACTTTTTGTGAACGATTAAAATTAATTGCAGACGGGTTTTAGGCCGCTTGTCAACCAACGTAATGACACTATTGTTTATACAAATTCATTCTGAAACCAATATTTTTCTGTCAACCAAAGTGATTTGATAAAGAGAAAAGAGAGGATTCATAAGTTATTTATCGGCTTGAGGTAGTGACCGACGTGTTTGCTTAAAAATACTGCCCAGCCGGAAAACGAGGTATATTTATGAAAAATGAAAACGAAAGTTGGGATGTACTCGGCGACTCACGAAAGCGTTACCTTGGCCCGTGGGCAGAGATAGGAAAATACTGACCGGGTAAAGAACCAATCAGATTGCAAGATTCGTTACCGTGCCCTCTAAAAAAACAATAAAAATGAATATCTAGATAAATGATCAGAAGTATATTTCGAAAGTTCACAAACTCTGAGAGAGAATTATTAAAGGCGCGGATGATGTAATTGGGGAAAGGGGAACAACCATTATTTTCACCTTATTAATGTTCATCTCTGTTCATTTATTTGTTTATTCATTTACTCAATTATTTGCTCTTTAATTTCTTTTATTTTCAGAAGGTGCTATGTTAAACTCAGAGCTACCAAGTCGAAGCTTACCTGTTGTCATAACTGAGGCAAGTGTTTGTATTGCATTGTGCATCATAAGCGTCATTGGAAACAGTCTGGTTTGTATGGCAACATGCAGAAACTCAAACCTGCGATCAACCACCAACCTGTATATCATTGCTTTAGCTGTCAGCGATCTGCTGTGTGGAATAGTACAGATGCCGTTAACTTCTGCCACGCTGATCATCGGAAGATGGGTCTTTGGCGACGCCCTATGCCAATTTGAAGGCTTTGTTTCCGTATTTACCTATTATGTTACCCCAGCAACCCTTGGTTTGACAGCGTTTAACCGCTACATGAAAATTGTAAAGACAAGCCATTACAAGAAGATTTTTTCGCCCCGCAGATCTAAGATATGGTTGAGTTGCTTGTGGCTTTCCTTTGCACTTTACCTGCTGATTGTCCGTGTCACAAATTGGGTTAAAATCGATTTTATTCAAGGCTACGCAGGGTGCTCCTTTGATTACCCAAGCAGTGAAAGTCAAATCTTTCATTATTGCATCACTATTGGATTACTTTTTGTCTTACCGTTGTGTGTCGGCATTTTCAGTTATTATAAGATATTTCTGAAAACCCATGAGCATCAACAGAATGTGGTGTCATCGCTACGGAACTGTACTGACAATACTGCAGTTAGCAACGCAGTGAAAGAAATAAAGGTTACTCGAATGTTGATCCTTGTTGCAGCGGGGTTTTTGTGTTGCTGGATACCAATGTGGGCACTTGTCCTCTGGTTTCGTTTTTCCCCTGAGACCAGCTCAAGAATTACAGCATTGCTTGTCACTTTTTTATTTTATTTGAGTGCTTCAATCAATCCTATTATTTATGCTTTCACAAATGGCGAGTTCCAAAGGGAATTTCGCAAACTGCTCTGTTGCCGCCGTGAAAGGTCAAGAATTGTGCTAAAGAAAGCTGCTGCGTTTACTGGTAACGACCTCGTCGAACGAGAGGAACAAGAAGCAAACTTTTAAGTCCAATGAATTTGTGTTAATGAAACATCCTCTTTTGAAAACAGGAAGGAAAAGTTATTCCATTTTTTTTTTCTAATTTAGTTATTGTTTGTCAAAGCAAGCTTCTTAGATGTCGAAAGCTGTGTTGCTCGCACCAATCAATTATAAATTATTTATGGTGATGTCTCCTTGCCAAATGCTGAGAGGATGACATCAGTTCACTTTTAAATTTTGGATGAGTTGCGAGTACAAATTGAATAGATTTTACCATTCCTGCGATGAAATTGTGAGGAACCTAATTGGAATACCAAATTGAATGATCTGATGGCAAGCAAAGATCGTTCCTTTTGCTTCTTCGGAATTTTCTATTTAAACGTCAAAGCTTTTGTCATAATTGGTTAGTTAAATTTAATTAGAAGTGAATTTTATTCGACTTTCTGTTTGTGAACAGCCAGCCACTAAAGCAGAATAACTTACCCTGAGTTTCTCTTTCTGATGCCTGTGATGTAATCAGCAAATTACTTGCGATACTCGAACATAAGATTTTTTCTAAACTCATAATAAATTAGCACATAATGCTTTTAGTTGATTGGAGGTGACGCTCTGTCGTTTATGAAAAACTACGAGATGACCAGAAAAGCGGAGAGAGGTATGAAAAATAACTTATATTGCGAGCTTTAAAGTGATGATATTTGCAAAGCAACGTTTTTCTGGGAGGAAATAAATAGAATTTGAAAAAGAAGCCAGCAAAGAGATAAAACTTGGCGCCTACAGCTGATAACAATATTAATGACGTAACAGTGATAAGAAATAGCTCGCAACGATACCTGCAAGACTTTCTACGTCGACGAAATAGTTCCTGAGTGTATTTTAAGATGGAAAACATGTTAGAGGGAGATTTTATTCGTCAAATGTCAAATATAACTGCTTAGGACCCCTGTAGATGGCCTAAAGGTTTCGTGCGCCCTCCCCATTTTTTGTCCGTTTTTCAAGGTTAGGCATATTTATTTTATATCATAGTGTTGCCCTTTGTCTTTTGATTTTTTCTTGTCGTTGTCGTTGTCGTTGTCGTTGTCGTTGTCGTTGTCGTTGTCGTTGTTTTTGTTGTTGTTGTTGTTTTTTTTGTCAAATTTCGAATTTTTTGTTAATTTTTTTTTTAATTTTTCATATCATTTGCATCTATTTTTCTTATTTTAAAAAAGTGAAGAAATGAGTGCGCCCACTGCAAGACATTATTTCTCCGGACTGATGTAAGGGTTAGGGCTGAAATTGTATGGGGATTTAGAATAAAGTTGTACATCTGCGCAATGTAAAATACTTCTCTTAACCTTATATTTTGTGCAAGATATTCTTATCTATATTTCGGTGCGCTCTCCCTACTTAGCTTATTATTCGAAAGTCATATTTAAGCGTTTTTTTTTTTTGTCGATTTAACGAAAAGGATTGTAATAATAAAATTCTTACTGGCGCAAGTAGTGAAACCCCACATGTACATTTATTTATCAATTGCTCTCGCCATCTTTGCGGAGAGTCATTAAGCAACACATGCACCGCACTTTCTATCATTTTACCAAAATCATAACCAACTTGAAATGTTTCCGTGCTACTGGAAAAGTTTGTGAATCACTCGCCTCTTGTGATTAACAACTTTTCGAGTGTTTTCCCAACGTTCCGAGTGGGGTATTATGCTGGTAAACCGACAGAAAGTGTGTTTTTTTGCTTTTATAAAATAAACTTAAAACAAAACATATTGTGTTTCAAATTTCTCTGGGTTACCGATGCAATAAACGATAGGTTTTTGACCAATCTCGTTTATTAATAAAGCCTGATAACACAACGGTCTGGGAGATGTTGAAATAAAAAATGTTGGATGAACGAATGTTTTCAGGCCTTAGGCAAAAACAGTAATCCATTAGTAGTTGTGTCTTTCAGACCTATTGCAAACAGCTTTCCCCCTCACCTGCAGCTCTCACTTTTTTTATGTAAGAAAAGAATAAAAAGGGCGTCGATTTTGTACGTATTGGAAAAGACAAGTATAAAGCAAACTATAAAGGAGCCTAAGTTTCTAAAGAAACTGTGGTGCTGCGACGGCGGGGAAAAGCTGACGTTTGACCGGCTTTAGGAACATCTCTCTCGATTCTGTGTATGAACGCTGGAAGTTACATAGGCCCTCTACAAAAACAGTTTTAAGTAAGTGGGGATACGACGACTAGTTAATAAAAAGATTGCTTTGAACTTTAAACTGATCAATAAAGCCTTTATTTATCCATGTTTCTATCTATTCACACTGACTTCAGGATAGACTGAAAATGCAAAAGAGTTTCAGAAATAGAATGACATATCTTGACACTTCCCTTAATGATGCCCCAACCGAAGGCAATAAATGATGACCGTTTTGTGTATAATCCAACACGTTATTTTTCTTAAGTCAACTTTATTAAGACGTTGTCAAAATATCTTTTTGAGCCCATGTGCATTGTTAAAGATTTGTTAAGAGAAAGGAAAATTTTCAAAATTAAGCTTGAGAGCTTGCATGGACAGCCTAAGTTTTCGATCGATTTCAAATCAAGGAAACCCTTTAAATGATAGGCAATAATAAACTTAAATTATATATGCAAATTAATACAGGGATACGGAGAAAATATAAAAGTAATATGAATTGGCGCCTTCAGCTAATATGTTCGATCCAAGCTTCATGAGAAGTAAATGTGGAAACAAACTAGTGGAACTTTTCGGCAGACTGGTGTTAACGGCAATAAAAATAATAATAATATTAACAATGATGAAGCAAACGATGATTATGATTGTAATCACAAAATAGAAAAACAGGAACAAAGAAACAGAGAAAACAGGTTTGACAGCTTACATTTATCTTCAAACGTTCGCTTGTCATTAATACTGTTTCTAATTTGAATAAATTGTAAGTAGTTGCTTGCGCCTACATCAACAAAATACTCATTGCATGTACAGAGTATATGGATAGCTTATATCTGTGGGAGATTAAAAAAAGTATCCGTTGATTGCAAAGGGAGACAATACAACTGTACAAGTTTAAAACTCGAACGGAAATATTAAATATGTTTATTTTTTCCGTTGAGCAATAACTTGCGGTTTGGACATACAAAAGAATTGGAAACGCATGCTAAATTACACACCTGTATTTTACCTACAAAATGAAAAAAAAAAAAAAAAAAAAGGTAGTATGAGATTCTCTAGCAATAACGAACGATTAATTAGCTTATAGAAATGCGTAGGCATTTTACGAGTTACCAGTATAATGTTTCATATTCAGTGTATTCTTCACTTGTCGTTAGGGTTTAAATATGAGGGTAGTATTCAAAGCAATTACATGTTAAGGAAGTAATGTGATTGTAACGCTACCGTTAATCTTCACACGTCTTCATAAACCTCACTGTTACCTTGCTTGGTATTGGATAAACTTACAATTCGAGAGGACGAGACTACGTTGGGTCACGCGGTTGAAAGACAAAAAAAAGCCAATAAATAAACGAATATATAAATAATAAGTAGATAGATGATTACAAGTATATTTCGACAGTTCACAAACCCTGAGAGCGAATTAAAGGTGCGGGTGATGTAATTTGCCGGGAAAGGGGAAAAGCCATTAGTTTCATTATGTTAATCTTCATCTCTCTTCATTTATTTGTTTATTCATTTACTCAATTATTTGCTTTTTAATTTCTTCTATTTTCAGAAGGTGCTATGTCAAACTTAGAGCTACCAAGCCGAAGCTTACCTGCTGTCATAACTGAGGCAATTGCATGCGTTTCATTGAACATCACAAGCATCATTGGAAACAGTCTGGTTTGTATAGCAGCATACAGAAACACAAACCTGCGATCAACCACCAACCTGTATACCATTGCTTTAGCGGTCAGCGATCTGCTGTGTGGAACGGTAGACATGGCGTTAGCTTCTGCATCGCTGATCATCGGAAGATGGGCCTTTGGCAACGCTTTATGCCAATTTCAAGGCTTTATCAATATGTTCACCTCTCACGTGACCCCAGCAACACTTGGTTTGACAGCAATTAACCGCTACGTGAAAATTGTAAAGACAAGCCATTACAAGAAGATTTTTTCGCCCCGCAGATCTAAGATATGGCTGAGTTGCTTGTGGCTTTCCCTTGCACTTTACCTGTTGATTGCTCGAGTCACAAATTGGGTTAAAATCGATTTTATTCAAGGCTACGCAGTGTGCTCCTTTGATTACCCAACTAATGTAAGTCGAATCGTTCATTATTCCATCACTGTCCCATTATTTTTTGTTTTACCGGTGCGAACATCGACTAAGCGACATTCCCTAAAGAGAGGTTTTAAAAACAACTTATATTGCGAGCTTTAAAGTGATGATATGTGCAAAGCAACTTTTTTCTGGGAGGAAATAAATAGAATTTGAAAAAGAAGCCAGCAAAGAGATAAAACTAAGCGCCTACAGCTGATAACAATATTAATGACGTATCAGCGATAAGAATAGCTCGCAACGATACCTGCAAGACTTTCTATGTCGACGAAATAGTTCCTGAGAATAAATTAAGATGGAAAACATGTTAGAGGGAGATTTTTGATAACTGCTTAGTATTCCTGTAGATGGCCTAAGGGTTTGGTGCACCCTCATTTTTTTTCCGGTTTTTTAAGGTTAGGCATATTTTTTTTTATATCATAGTGTTGCCCTTGTCTTTGTGAATACGTTTCGTTTTCGTTGTTGTTGTTTTTTTTCTGTCAAATTTTGAATTTTTTGTTAACATACATTTTTCGTATTTAAAAAAAAGTGGGGAAATGAGTGCGCCAACTTTAAGACATTATTTCTCCGGACTGGTGTAAGGGTTAGGGCTGAAATTGTATGGGGATGTAGAATAAGAGTTGTCAAGATTTGTGGAACGTAAAATACTTCTCTTAATCTTATATTTTGTGCGAGATATCAGTTGTCTATATTTTGGTGCGCTCTCCCTTCTTAGTTTATTATTCAAAAGTCATGTTTAAGCGTTTTTTTTGTCGATTTAACGAAAAGGACTGCAATGAAAATCATATTGGCGCAAAGTTAAGTTAATGGGCTTTATTTAAATGTAATTTTTATTTAGTTTCTAAGGTGGTATAAGAATAGAGTCACATATCTTTACAACTTTTTATGGAAATTTGGTCTAGCTTTTGCTATTAATTACTCAGAGGTGCTTGCTCCGTTTGCGTTGAAAGTGTCTAATGATATTGACGAATGTATTGGCTAAACAACCGTGTAAATGGTGCCTAGTTTGAATAGATTGATATAAAGTTAGCGGTAGTTAAAAAGGAGACTTTGGTTCCCTGCTTAGGGAAATTAAGCAAATCGCGGCAAGGGTGGAAGATTCGATTTCTTTCTTATTTTAATATTAGATAGACTAGGCTATAACTAAAATCGCTGGATACTTTTTTTGGCGAAACATCTTTTTATTTCAGAAAAAAATTCAAATCACGAAATTCCGTTAAAATCGTCATTTTTAGCAGCAAATTATTACACGAGTTTGAGGGTTTCGCGTGCAAAAACGAATCACTATCTCGTCTTTTAAATACTCCAATATTCTTTTTCGATCTCATAAGACCTCACAAAATGATTTTTGTAAACATTGCGCTCTTCTTTGCGCTTAAAATAATTCAATTTCGAAAGTATACATTTCTCTTCAATAAAAATACTTCGTGAATAAAAGTAATTTTCACCATGTGCTAAACCTTCAAATGGATTAAGCTTTTGGTGGTTGAATTTCGACACGATTTTCTCAATATAACTGTAAAAATTTGTTTGAGCAAATGATTGAGAGCGATACAAAAGCTTTTCAAAATCCGTTAAAATGCAGTTATTTGACATTTCGCGGTCAACATTCCAGTCGCGAGTCACACATATTTTAATATGTTTCAACCAAGATGAGGCCGAAAAATGGACATAGAAACATATTTCCAAATGCTCTAACTTCATTTGCCGCAGAAGACCGATCCAGAGACCATTTTGGTGTGATTCATCATCGTTGCTGTTATAATTATTTTTCTTAGTAATAAGTTTTTTCTTCGAGTTGAGTCGCAATTTGGCTGAAACGAATATCGTAATCAAGTGAGGAAACTTGATATTCTTATCATCTGGATTTTTCTTAACCTGAGACGCCGAAAGTGTTCTACATTTTTTCTGATCGGTTTGGGCCTGGCTGATTTACTGGTTGGAGGACTGGCCACTCCTCTTTTCATAGCGTATTTGAATCAGCTTCAATAACAGCATGGCGTGTTTTCAACCTTGTTGACGTGTTTACAAGTACATCGTCCATTTATGCACTTGCTGTCATTTCCGTGAAGAGAATGTTCGCCATCGGCTGGCCTTTTCGTCATAGAACTGCAAACTTTCGTGTTTATATCTGTGCCATTTCCATTCCGTGGATCATAGCAGCAATATTCACTTTTTTTCACTGATGCAAACTTCAACTTCATTACAAGTGACAGCGTAATCTACCTTCTAGTTTTGCTTCTTGTAACACCTCTATTAGTTATGTGTGTAGCGTATTATGTTATTTGGAGGCTTCCACTCCAGATTTTTAACATGTTGGTAAATTTGCATGTTTTTCCATCTTTTTCTCAACTGCAACTGACAGTATTCATCGTCAGGGTTTTACAATACAGCAATTCGTTCGTGAACGTAATTATTTATCCACTGAGAATACCAGAATTTAAAAACTACCTGGTTCACTTACTTCGCTCGGTTGTGTATTCACCTTCCAGTTTTTAAACTCTGTGGTATCTCCTTTATCTGGGTCTGGGTCAGTTGTGTCCTTAATAAGATTTACGAGTATGCAGTTTTTCTCACCGATCTCTAGCCGAGCTCAAAAGGTCACTTGTAATGTCCAATGGTCTGATGGTAAGTCAAGATTAAAAAAAGATAAAAAAAAAAAAATAAAGAAAGAAAGAACAATAATTCATGCCTTCTTCACTTAAAGCAACTTGCACAATTTGTTAAACCTGATAATTTTTATGGATGTAGCGCAAAAAAAATTTAGTTGTATTAATGTTATCCTTTCGAAAAGATCATTTGAATAAATTTAAGATACCTTTTAACCGAGACTCACCATTTAAGCATTATAAACACCTTCTTCTCGTTTATCAAAAAGTTTCCTCATCGGTATCCAAAGATAAACTTAAAGCCAACATATTCCCCTTCGACACCTTAAAGGTGGATAGTGCAAATTACTTTCGAATTTGCCTATAAAAAGGCGTGAAAAGTGATACATATGAAGTAATAAAGAATCACCACTTAATTAATTGATAACTTTATTAAATAAAAAAATCACTCAATTTTAGCTCATTTGGTATAAATGTGCAATGTACTCCTCCATTTGGGTAATACGAAATATGAGAGATAGAGGGAGAGAGAGGTAGAGATGTAGATTCATTACTATCACCGTTGCCCGTTGCATTCTTCACTTTTGTATTATGTTAGTGCTTGATGTAAATTTTTAACGACTGTTGAACACAGCCAAGTTGTCTCATATTGTACAGAATTCGTTATAATAAATATTGCATCTAAACAATTTGGCTACTTGCCCCACCTCACGTACCTCAAATAGCTCATTGAACCACAAAAGGACAAGCTTATCGAGAATATATTTTGCTTGAGCTATGACCGGGAAAGTCATTCAGTTTAAGTTTCTGCTATCTCTGAAAGCAGCTTGTAAAGCGGTAATTTAAACCAGGTGAAAAAAAGGCCGGATTGAATGTATAGTCTCAGGAAGATCGATGGCTCGTGTCGACTTCTTTGGTCAGTGTCAGTGGTTTAACGTCAATCTATACACTTGCAGTCATTTCATGGAGAGAATGTTTGCTATCGTAGGGCCTCTACGTGGCAGCGTCCGTCATTTCGTATATTGAAAGTGTGCTATTGCCGTACCGTGGATCATAGCAGCAAAATTCACTTCTCTAACGATTCCTGACTTCGAGATAATTATAAACCTCTAAGTTACAAATTTCTTTTCCTCTTCTTCCTGACCACACCATTGCTAACGATGTGTGTCGCGTATTTTAGTATCTGGATAAAACAAAAAATCCCCAAAGGGAATCCGAAATCCCAGAGCTGCAAGAGAATCAAAATTAGCCAACATATTACTCTTCACTTTTAGCTTGATTCCATTTCAAATTTGGAATAATTTTGTTGTTTTTATAGGTTTAAGGATTTTATTAAAAGCGATGTACCTCATCATTAAACTTTTTAAAGTTCAGCAACTAGTTCAGCCATTTTAGCATAATTTTCCACCTTCTTCTCTTTTATCAAAACGTTTACTCATCGGTGCCATCGTGTTTCCTTTCGACACCTAAGAGCTGGATAATACAAATCATCCTTGAATTTCCCACTAGGAACGTGCGAAAAGTACTATTCAATCACATTGCTTTTACCAAGCCATGCATCAAAAGTGATATGCATGCAACCAAACTGTTAGATAAGACACTTGATCCATTTTAGCTCATTTGAAATAATGTACAATCTACAACTCGATTTGAGTAATAAAAAAAATCAAAGTAAGTGAGTGAAAGAGATTCGGCACTATAAACGTTGTAGTGTACTCTTGTATATTATGTTAGCGCTTGATGTACATAGTTAATGACTGTTGAGCACATCTAAGTTACCTCACATCGTTCAAAATTCTTTGATCTAAGATTAGATAAATATTACGAATAAGAGAGATGGTAAGTTTTGAGCTCGATGAAGAAATTAAGAAATTTTTTTTTTCGTCTTGTTACGAGTGTGGGAAAGAAAAAATTCTGAGTCCCTGTGAAGTATCGAACCTCAGACCTTCGGATTCCGTGCTCCGATGCTCTACCACTGAGCCATAGAGACTCCACGGTGAGCGAGGTGTATTACGAAGTTTAAATGACACGCGTCCTGCATGCTGCTATGATCAGAAATGTCGATAGCGTAATGTTTGTAGAAAGAGTCCCACGCTCGTGACAAGACGGAAAAAACATCTTTCTTTATTTCTTTACCGAGCTCAAAACTTATCATCTCTCTTATTTCTATCTATAATTTGAATTTATAAAGGAGTCAAGTTTCTAAAGAAACTGTGGCGCTACGTCGGTGGGAGAGTATAACAGGGTAATTTAGTATTATTAACGAGTTGATAACGTAAATTGGCCGCCATAAAGAGTTTCAAATCTGACGTTTCAAGCAGTAGCCCGATACGTCAGGGTAGAGGGCAGAGTCAGGGCAGAGTCAGGACAGAGGAGCACGGCAAGTCGGGATGTCAATTGCCAGAACTACGCTCCGATTTAATGCTACTTGTAAGGTCATTCAAAGATAATGAAAGCGTATTGCGTCAAGTGCAAAATTCTGCTCCGCGGCGTTCCTCTTCTCCTCGCTGTTTCAATACGGGTCATGTATTGCGTCGCGTATGGTCACGTGTCCTATCTTTTTTTTGCAACTTCTACGAACCGAAATTAGTTGTACCTGCGAATAAAAAACAAGTTCTTCATCGAAGCTAAAATTGAAATACAAAAACAAAAACAAAAAAACACAAGATACGAAGATATCGAAAAGCACGAAATAGTAACTAAATACCCAGGGTATTGGACCAGAACGAGTAAACTGAACGCATGATAAAGATTATCATTATCCAACTGCACAAAGTAGATTACAAATACCGGGCGAATTGAGTACAGATATCCTGCCATATTGTACGGTTGTTAGGACACTTGGTTATCTTGTACTGTAAAACAACCTGTTTAACCAGTCAGCTGCGCGCGTTATGTTACAAAATAATTGGTTCATGCTTTAAGCTATGCAACTTGAGAAGTTTGAAGAGCACTCATAAAGCAAGAGTTAAAACTCTTACGCTTCTCTCATGCTCTCTAAACTTTCGTGTGCATCCATTTGGCGATTAGCGAAGCATGGTTCTTGTCAGTTCGTTTACCATTAGAAACGTGGAAAGTTTCCCCGTAAAAACATCGTTTAAGGTTATAAGGTCGTCACAATACTTTTTCTGCGCCTCAATCAACTTATAATTGCGTTAATGCTAAACGAAATCATGAAGTAATCTTTGCCCAAATTCAGGTATGAATATGCATATGAATATACTCATTATTATTATTATCGTAATAATAATGATCATTATTAATAATATTTTTATTTTAAAAAAAATTATTTCAAGTGCTAAAATCTACAATGGAAGTTATAATTCTATATTTTTTACATAAGTCGATAAAAATAAAATTTCAGATATAAATAAAAAACATTTTTGCTATGGAAAAAAAACCAAACATATTTATTATTATTGGAATAATGTTGTTATAATAATAATAGTAATAGCATTTTTACCGTTATTACTATTATCATTATCAAAATTAATATTATCATTATCGTTGCTGTTATAATTATTTTTCTTTGAAATAAGTTTTTTTTTTTTAGCGTTGAGGGGCAATTTGGCCGAAACGAAGATCTTAATCAAGTGTGGAGACTTTTGTGTTAATAGAATTATAAACATTAATGTTAGAAATTCTGTGAGGAAGCTAGATAAGCGTTATAGAAAGCCTTCCATGACCCGGCTTCCTTCTTTCTCATCTACCTAGCACAATCATAAATGAATGCACAACTGTTCGCAGTTATTATACTTCTAACTCATAATCTGAGTGTAATATGTCTCAAATGACAACGTCGAATTTAAGTGGAGCTACATGAAACTACAATACAGCAGTCGTATTTGAAGATCTCATGCTCCAAGTTAAATCAACACAAATGCAAATGGCCCAAAAACATCATCGACAATGGCTGCAAAGCAGACAAGAACATTGAAGAAACCTGATCCATAAAATTATTTTGCCAGTCAAGAAGTCGGCAATGGCTTAAGCATCTCGTGGGTTAATTAAGAACAGTTTTTACAAAATTTGAATTCAGTTTTCTACACGAATAATGGATTTTAGGCCATCCAATTGAAACTGATCGTTGCAGTTTGGATAAACGTTGATTATGACAGTCTCATTGAAGTAATTATTCCGATTTGTTTTAAGTCTTAATTTCACTTTCGTTTCGTTACCAGCTGCGCGGTTTATTTGGAGTCATCGCCAGAAAAACCTTCTTATCACAAGTATGATGATATTTCCTATCGTAAATAATAATAATAATAATAATAATAATAATATACAGTATTTATAGAGCGCTAATTCCCAATGGTCCAAAAGCGCTTAAATACTTCTAAGGCTATTGAATATATTTCCTTGTGAATGTTGCCATTCAGCATGCATTTACGACTCCTATCTAATCTTTCCTCTGACCAAAAGACCTAATCGACACAACTCCACAGTCTCTCGAGTGAGAAACCTTCCCCATTTCTTCTCTGAAATTAATATTCCTATTTCGATGATTTAGATGATTGCGAGTTGCGAAGTATTTCGAACAATGCGAGAAATGTCCACTCGTTTTATGGGAAATTTATTACTCCATCATTACTTCATTTTCTTGCATTTTCACCCTCAGTTTTCGAAACACCTCACATGCTCAGCCTTGTTTGAGCATCGAATCAATCCCATAATGCCCGTGCGGAAAAAGAAAACAACCCAATCGAAACAATATAAATGTTCGCTACGACCGTCAAAAAATATCCTTCGCTTTCGAGTCATTTGCTTGAAAATTCAAACCCATAAGAAAAAGGAAAAAGATTTGGATCGTTCATCGCGGCCATTTTCAGGCTCCGATTTTTTCCCGTGTATTTACCGATTCTTTAAGGTAGAAACGAGGCATATGTTATGGTAAAATGGCGTAATAAGGGAGTGTTCTGAAAAAAGTATGTAGCCGAGAGTTGAATAAGTCTTCGGGTTCGGCTCAAGCTCAAGACAATCAGCCGAAAGCAAGTATCTTAAAGACATTTGGTATAAAGTCTGAATGACACTCCCTGCATAGGTTAGCTTTACTTTCTTCTTGGAAAATAAATTTTGCATAACATCGCAATTAAATGAAATTCATAGTATTTTGTCTTGTGGATGATATCGACTTTAAAAAAAAGCATACTTGTAGGTGATCTTCAATTTAAAAAAATTGCAGAAAGAAGTCTAAATATATCGATTCAGATATAGATTCCTCAACTGGAATCAAGAGAAACAATTTCCTGCCAGATATTTGTTGGGCAGTACTACCAACTGAGCTACGAAGCCACACATTGGCAGCGAAGCAAACTTTAACATGATAAATATTAATAAAAAAGAATAAAAATTCACGTAATATAGCTAAAATTTTGCTTTGTTTTGACTCTCCAGCATCATCATATAGGGAAACAGGACCCTATTGCCATGGATTTCAAAGCTTGGAATATGTTCTGGAGATTATGTTTTGGATTCTTGGCAACTTTGACCATGACGGGAAATATTCTCATCATCTGGATTTTTCTTAAGCTGAGACGCCGAAAGCGTTCCTCATTTCTTCTGATACGTTTGGGCCTGGCAGATTTACTGGTTGGAGGACTGACCATTCCTCTTTTCATAGGAACATATGAATCAGCTTCAATAACAACATGGCGTGTTTTCAACTGTGTTGACATGTCTACAAGTACATCGTCCATTTATACACTTGCTGTTATTTCCGTGGAGAGAATGTTCGCCATCGGTTGGCCTCTTCGTTACAGAACTACAAACTTTCGTGTTTATATCTGTGCTATTGCCCTACCGTGGATCGTAGCAGCAATACTCACTATAACAGTTTTCGTTAATGCAAACTTCAACTCCATTACAAGATACAGCGTAATCTGCCCTATAGTTTTGTTTCCTGCAACACCTCTATTAGTTATGTGTGTAGCGTATTATGTTATTTGGAGGAAACAAAAATCACCAATATGTAACCATAAGAAATGTCATCAGAGAGGCCAAATTAGCAAACACATTATTTTTGATTACAGGAGCTTCTGTTTTCACCTTACTTCCATTCCAGATTCTGAACCTGTTGGTATATTTGCAAATAACTGCAAACTTTTCTCATCTGCAACCGACGGTACTCGTCATCAGGGTTTTACAATATAGCAATTCGTTCGTGAACGTAATTATTTATCCATTAAGAATTCCAGAATTTAAAAACTGCCTGCTACACTTACTTCGTTGTTGTGTAGTTCCCCATCAGATATTTAGAGCTGGGGTTTTACCATCAGCTGAGTCTGGGTCAGTTGTATCCTTAGTAAGATTTACAAGTACCCAGCACTTATCACCGAGCTCTAAACAGGAGAGTGCATTTTGATTGCTTTATCGATTGCTTAAAGTCAGTAAAAAATCGACATTTTTTACTGACTTTAAGCAATTCAACTGAGGGGAAACCGTGCTCTTCATCATCTGTTTGAGTGTAAACGTAAGATCCCTAGGTGAATCTCAAATTTACTCGATGCCAAGTGTCAGGAGTAATTGGCATCTCCGGCGTTAATGAGTAATATTTTGTAAATGATATCCATACTGTATAGTTACGCTGACCTCGTTGTCAGGAAACTTTCTGGAAAGTTTTGTCGAGTAACGCAGTTATTGTATCATACTTGTTACGCAGCATGCGCGATGCGAAAACATCACAAGATTGCTTATGTGGCGCTTAGGTAGTCGCCGCTTATGTAGTTTCCTTTTGTCGAGAGATACCCTTGAGAGAGAAAAAAAAAAGCGAGACGGTGTGAGTGCGCAACGAAGCTGCATGCAAGGTGTGCGAGGAACTAAGAACTTTGGAGAAAGCGGTGTGTTTGTGTAGTGGAAAGCCGGTGTGCAAGGAACTAGGAACTTTGGAGAAAGTGGTAAATTCGTGTAGTGGCAAGTCGGTGTGCAAGGAACTAAGAACTTTGGAGAAAGTATTGAGTTTGTAAAGTGGTAAACTAATATATGGTTTGTAGAGGGCTCAAGCAAGATATTTAGGACCCAGGTTATTATATTGTAGGTTATTATCTTGTAAGTCGCTTCTAAGTAAGAATATTACCTGTAGTTTTAAAAAGTAGTTTAGTTCGTTGGAGCAGCGTTTTTCTGTCGGTTAGGTTATACCGTAACACAAGATAAATAGAGATGCGTACTTTACGAGAATGAAAGTGTCGAGGGCGATATCAGACACTTTCACATCAACTGAGACAAATGGTTTTGATATGTACCCCTCAAGATGGAGTACAAGCGGCAGTATCGTCAAATATCTATCTAATTCGGACATCACGCTAGAAAAATTCGGGCTCAAAAAGTCACCTATTATGTCTAATGATGAATCAAGGGATGATCATGGTAGAGCGAAGTAGGATATTTCATGCGTTCTTTCATTAGAGCAACTTGCACAATTTGTTAGACTTGACAACAACAAAAAAAGGTTTATGTTGTTTTCTGACTCTTTTCGTTGGAACATTCTGTCGGAAAGTTTAAATTTATTTGAATTAATTTAATATACCTTTAAATCGAGGTTTGAATTTCCCTCTAAGAACGTGTGAAAAGTACTTTTCAATTACATTGCCTTTACCAAGTCATACATCAAAAGTGATATGCATGCAACCAGACTGTTAGATAAACCACTTGATCAATTTTAGCTTATTTCAAATAATGTACAATTTACACCTCGATTTGAATAATGAAAAAATCAAAGTAAGTGAGTGAAAGAGATTCAGCACTATAAATGCTGCAGTGTACTCTTGTATATTATGTTAGGGCTCGATGTACATAGTTATTGATAGTTGAGCACATCTAAGTTACCTCACATCGTTCACAATTCTTTGATCTAAGATAATAAATATTACAAATAAGAGAGATGGTAAGTATTGAGCTCGGTAAAGAAATAAAGAAAGATGTTTTTTTCGTCTTGTCACGAGCGTGGGACTACGAAAAAATATTGAGTTCCCATGAAGAATCGAACTTAGGACCAACGGATTCCGCGCTCCGATGCTCCACCACTGACCCATAGAGACTCCACGGTGAGCGAGGTGTATCACGAAGTTCAAATGACACACGTCCTGCATACTGCTATGATCAGCAATGTCGATAGCGTAATGTTTGTAGATAGAGTCCTACGCTCTTGACAAGACGAAAAACATCTTCCTTTATTTCTTATCGAGCTCAAAACTTACCATCTCTCTTATTTCTATCTAAAATTTGAATTATAAAGAAGTCAAGGTTCTAAGGAAACTGAGGTGCTGCGTCAGTGAGGAAGTGTAACGGGACAATTTAATATTTGTAACGAGTTGATAACGCAAATTGGCCACCGTAAAAAGTTTCAAATCTGACGTTTCGAGAATTAGCACGAAATATCAGGGCAGAGGGCAGAGGGCAGAGGAACACGACTAAATTTGAACCCAGTTTACTACACGAGTAAGGAATTTTAAGCCATCCAATTGCAACTAATCGTAGCAGTTTATAGAAACGTTGATTATGACAGTCTCATTGAAACTCTGTCTCATTGAAATCATTATTCCGATTTGTTTTAAGCCTAAATTTTACTTTCGTTTCGTTACCAGCTGCGCGGTTTATTTGGAGTCATCACCAGAAAAATCTTCTTATCAAAGGCTATGATGATATTTTCTATTTTAAATACTTCTAACTAAAGGCTATTGAATATATTCAATTGCAATACAATCAACCTAAAACTACAATAAAAGACGATAAAAGTTACGATGTGGTAAGAAGTTAGACATCCACGTAAGAGTTTATTTCTTTATTTTCTTTTAAAAATAAAAGCAGATTCACATAACTTAAAAGTATGATACAACTCGTGTTATGGAGAGCAAAACGTAAACAGCGGCTAACGATGGAGCGTGTGAGTCGTTTTCCACCGAGGTAAGAATTCAACACAATGCAACCGCAGAAAACAACACCGAAAAATTTGCAAATGCGGGAAAATACGCAATTTACTGCAAAAGAGGGGAAAAACTATGGCCACCTGGGACGTAGAAATGGAGGAATACGTACCTCGTTGCAAATGCGGGAAAGTATTTGTAACGAGATACAAAAGATATAGAGTAAAAGCTGAATTTGTAATGCATACATAAGCGGAATCCAAAAATGTAGATTGATTACTTTTTTCGCAATGCTTTAAAAATAGAAGTAAAATAATCTAATTTAGTCGGATTGCGTCATTAACGAATATTTGCTCGATCTCTTCTCTGGTGAGATGCCTTTGCTTTTTAACCCTTCAAAGAGACCTAAATATTGGTAGTAAATTTCTTAACTTTTTTGTTTACCACATAGGTATCTTTATTGTAGGGAATTTTGAGACATGCCCGAAACATTCTCCAATTCTGAGTTCCGTTGGATTACCTTCGGCAAAAAGGTCCCTCCATTCATATCTACGTCGTATAACATATAATTTGGAAAGGCACCAATTTATTACCAAGCTCAACAAAACATACACTCCACATTCCATTTGTCCGTTATGTTCTTAGCTTAACACGGGGAAAACCCACAGGAAGTGAAATGTTTTAAACTAGATGGCCCAAATTATATCTCCCAATGTTTTACACCTCGTGCTCGCCTGAATAATGTAAATTTCACAGGACGCCAAGGTGTGAATTGTATATAATTTTATCTATTTTTACATACTCTTGAGCTATATATATATATATATATATATATTGGCATATGCATAACTCACATTATATCTTGTTTTGTATTTTTAGTTTGTCGAGTGTTTTTAACATAAGCCCTGGCTCGGAAGATTGTGCATGCACTTTCTACGTCTTCGACATTAAATATTCTATTCTATTATTTTGTTCAATTAACAAGAATTATGGAATATTTGTTTTACATATTGCCATTTATCAATTCCACTCGTCATTTTGCTTTTTCTCACCGCGAGATATTTTTCATTTCGGGAAAAATTCGTATGTCATTCAGCCAAAGCTTGTTGCCGTTAACAGATGTTTCTCCTTTCAATTTCAGCTCGGCAAATAGAATTCTAATTTTCAGGCTAGCTTAGATCTCTCCATCGAGTGAGATTGTGTCTTGAACTAATTTTATCTCATGAAAAAAAATTATGTAAATCAGAAATTTATACGGGAATCCTAATGACACATTTGAAAAACCGCTCTTGTCTCCCCAAACCTGGACAAAATTCGTTTAGTAACGAAGATTAATTGATTACAAAGATCTTTAAGCTGTTCTTTACATTGTCAGGCTTGATATGTGTGGTGTCCAAACAAGCAAATTTATAACATAGCTAGTAAATTTGTCTAATCAAATTCAATTGCGTGAGCGTGCTTCATTTTCCTATTGTTAAACAAATTTACGCGCTATGTTATAATCTTTTTTGTGGTTATCCCCGCGCACGCCAGCCTATCGCGTCCCAGTTGGTGTCCAACGGAGCAAATTTAACATTCACAAAATTACGAGACAACTTATAACCTACTCACATAGGGCTCGTATTCGATGCACGCCTAACTTTAAAGATCGTCTCGACATTAGCATTCGTAATTTGACAAGTACATGACATTTTCACAAGTATGCCACTCCTTGACAGCTATGCTACAATAGGGATAAAGAAAACTTGTTTCACTTCACGTGTTCGTGAAAGACAAGCGGACAAAAACATAAACTGAATGACAGTAGTGAGCAGAAATGAGAAAATAAGCCACGCTCTTCGATGAACCAGAATTTCCTGCTCTGACTCAATAAAGGAAAGGAAGAGTTTTTATTGTAGAATCTTTTTTTTGTAGTTATCCCCGCGCGCGCCAGCCTATCGCGTCCTATTTAAGTAAAAACATACTTTTCGAAATATTCAAAAGTTATTCATGGACATACGATAAAATGCTTATTGACTGAGTCAAGTCATACATAATCCCAATTTACACATATGAAGTTACCGCTTTTTCCGGTTAGAAATCTTTGTTAAACACCGCAGTTTATATGATAGTTTGCATTTATCAGTCGGACCAGCTAAATTTTCACAACTTCAGTGTTTTTCTAGCAAAATAATAGTTTTCTCAAGAGCTTTGGGGCTATGCCGAATAATAGACAATTCATTCTTTGCTAATGCCTCGCCTTTCAACTTACCACCTGCTACAACTTGCACGTGACCATAGGCCAGATATGTAACTAATAAAAATGTTGATTAAAATTCGCAATCAAGCTTAAGCAAGAAAAGAGTTATTTTCTGGGGTTATCTTTCAATGAAAAAGACGAAGTATTTCGAAAACGGCAAACTTATATGCACTTCGGCAGAATAAAAAATACCTATTTTTTTATTGAAATTATCGTTAAACATACAGATGTTTCAGTCTTTAATGCATTTGTTTAGGCTTTCGT